ATAGACCGTACAACAGAAGTGGGCGGGGTCACCCTGACGTGAAGTTATGTAACTTTTGGGGGCGTAAACATTAAAGATTCCACATGTTACATCACATATAGCACTTGTTGGCGTTCATCTGTTTTTCTTTTATATTTTGTAAGATTTCAGCGCTAAGGTTTAAAGCAGACCTATTATTATTCTGCTTTTCCAGTCCTATATTGTAGTTCTGTGACTCTGTATGGCAAGTTTGCATGATTCAAAGTTACACTGGTCATTTCAGCCTCTGTCTGAAACAAGCTGTAGATGCTCCTGTCTCTTTAAGGCCCCCCCTCTCAAAGCCCACTGTCTTCTGATTGGCCAAGACCTGAAGCATGTTACCAGGCTGCTGTTGTCGCTGGGCGGAACAGGCAGACTGAGCGTTGCTGTGCCGTTGCTATGGGAGCACATGACCATATATGGAACAGCGGCTCCGTCTGGGTATTACGGAGCCGTTGGTAGAAAAAGCAGTTGAAAATGTTCAGAACAGGAGGAAACCTGAGGTTTATGCTCACAGGGATTTCTTTTAAATACTTTAACCTCATTATTTGAAGCTTTGGCCACGTTTAACATGAACATCCAACATTATAACATTACAGATAAGTCATAAAATGTGGAAAATCTTAATAGGTCTCCTTCTAAAAAAAGTTTCTATTCAACGGCACCTTTAAATCTGTGTTTGTGCCTTTTTAAAAGCTTTTAATATGACTTTAAATGATAAACTACACTTTTATTTTGGCGAGACTGTCAGTCTGAAATAATTTCCCATCTGTCCCGTCTCATCCAGGTGGTACATCCTGTTTGGTCACGAGTTGATCTGGAAGAACCGAGAACCTTTTGTTAAGCTGTGGCACGACCTGAGAACAGGAGGACGACCGGGCGGAGGAGGTGACGGAGGTGGCGCCGTGTAGAACGCTGAAGCGCCGGGGCTGATGGGGGGAAAAACACATGTACAGATGTATAAAATGTACAGATGAACAGAAAGAAGCTGCACCGTTCAGGACACCTTGACAGGAAGTAGGTGGGCGTAACGGTGACCTCAGCTGGTGAAGTCACCTGGATTTAAAATAATGATCATATTTATAAAAATAATCGACATAAATGATTGATGTTTTGTTTGTTTGTGTTAGAGGCGAAGCAGAAATCCAAACTGGGACTGAAAATAATTATTTTACTGTTTTTGATTGTGTTAGGGTTAATTCATTATTTAGCCAATAAAAACATCCAAAAAGCCAGAGATTCAGTTTCTAAAGGTGTGAAACAGCTCACTGGTTAAAAGTATACAAGTCTTTTGCTGTTGATTCATTTATTAATTTAAGGCTTTAATGAAAACCTCTGGTTTAAAACCACCAGCAACTGGAAGAAAAGAAGTAACAGTAAAGTTAGACAAACTAAAATCCACTTCTAAACAATTAGCATCTGCTGAACTGAGATGCTGCACCGCTCCTCTGCGGTCTGTGGCGGTCGTGATGGAGTCGCCCCCTGCAGGCTGCTGGAGAGGACGCAGGTTGAAGTTACCTCCGTGCTGTCTTGGCACCACAAAAAGTGCTTCTTGTTACCAGCGACAGGCTCAGACTGTTATACCAGGTGACTCCCAGCGACCCCCTTTGTAATTAACAAGAAACTTGAAAGGAAGAAGCTGGTGGAAACGAGGGAGGGGAGTTTGTTGTGTATGTAGAGGAGCTGCTAGCGAGACTTCTAACGTTAGTCCAACACGACAAACTGCTCTCTCCAGCTCTGACTCTGACTTTCATCGGCGTCGTGTTGGTAACATAAAAGTGACTTATCCAACCACAACGCCGACACGTTTAATCTCCATCAGATGGAGGTAAAGGGCTGCAGGTCTGAAAGAAGCTCTATATATTCTTTCTGCAACATAAAAATACAGGTTTACGAACATTTTTAAGTTGTAAGAAAGTTTGTCTTACACTAGTGAGGGATTTTTACTTGCATTTGCACGGGGTAGTTAACTGTGACCCGCAAACATGAAGTCAGTTTGATAAAGAGACAGTTTAAAGTCCACAAACTGTCAAAACACAGACAAACACAGCAGAGGCTAGTCTGCATGTTGATCTGCACGCAAGCAGCACAAAGAATTAAAAAGACAATGTCAAATAAAGCACATTAATAAATTTAGAAGAGAATATAGATAAAAATATATACTGCACATATATGTATACATATTTAGATACTAGAATCCAGGCACTTTTACTTATTTGACCCAAAATTGCAAATCACTCAAAATCACAACAGAAGGGTTCGTAGGAAAATATGTAACTGTATGAACAGTAAAAGTACTCATGATAAATATGAGCTTTTAAAGTTACTACATGTTGTTTTAACTGTTAATCTGGTATAAACTTTAAATACTTACAATGAAGTTCGCCTGCTGTTTTTTGTAAATTGTACATAAATGAAATATCGTACTATAGTGTACTGCAGTTACTCATCAGAACAATAAGCTGGCTGCTGGAAATTATTTCAGAAATTAGCACGCTACCTGAAAGCTACACGAATATATTGGTAAAGTCAAACATTTCATATATATAAACGATATATATATAGTTTATAGTTTATATTGCAGTAATTGATCATTTTAGCTGCCGTTATGTTTTCTATGTAAAATCTTTCATTCAGAAGCAGATTTAATAACTGTCAGATAAACGTAGTGTAGCTTTTAACTAGTAACTGGGTACATTTACTCTGTACTTAAGTAGAATTTTAAGAGTATTTTTTTCATGCCACTTTCAACTTCTACTCTGCCACATCTCAGAGGAAAACAAACTACTTTTTACATCACTACATTTGTCTGACAGCTTTAGTTATTACTGTTCAAATGATACTATAAAATATTAAACCAGTGTTGGCCAACCTTTCCACTTTGTGCATTAGGCTGATTAACTGTGTCTAGCTGGGGCTCTTAGTTGCATTTCAACCTTTGAGTTTTTATCAGTTCTACCAAAGAGATGCTTCAAATTATCTAAAGTTTCACTAAAAATCATCAGAGATTAGAGAAGTCTGTAAACTGAGGGCAGCATCTACGTTCATCTCCCATTAATCATCCCCCAAATTCATCTGCTACATGAATACTTGTTGTTGTTGTATTTTTACTGCTGATACTTTAAGTACATGAAGCTGAAGTGAAGTGCTTTGAGAAACTGGTCATCCCAACAAACATCCCAGCCTGGACCCTCACCAGTTTCAGAACCCACAGATCCACAGAGGATCTCAGCAGTCTGGGCTGAGTGCTGCACCATGTTTACCTCCTAAGTCGGAGCTGGGGATGTCGGAAATCCTCGCTTGGCTAGCCGTTGTTTGGCCAGGTTAGCCTTCGTTTTACCAACACTGGTTGGTTAAACACAGTAGCAATACGTGCACAGACAGCAGCTGGACGGCACTTTGTGTACGACAATTTCTATGAGACACGAATACACAGAAGTGCTAATAAACAGGATGAACTGCGGCTTTCACTAACTTGATACTCGGAGCAGCCATCTTGGGTCACAAAGTCGGTGGTAGTTCCCTTTTAAAATTTCCGACTTTGAACTCAAATTCCAACTTCTCATGTCAAATGGAAAGAACCAGAAGTTTGCGACTTGTCACATATGGATGCATGGTCAAGACCCATCGGTGTCAGTTTGTAACGCTAAATATTTAACAGGAAAGACTGAGTAAGGAGGTGGATGGAGGGCCAGAACCCCGACTTTGAACCAGGAGACCGGGGTTCGTGTCCCGTGTGAAACAAAAAGTCAACATTAAATATTTTTATTAGTGACTTACGTTAACTTACATGTTAACTGACGTACGTAGTTATTTTAATCCAAACCAGGATCTGTTCCTAACCTTAACCAAGTAGTTTTGTTGCCTAAACCTAACCAAACTGCAACTTTTCAAGACTTTAACAACGTTTTCAAAATGTTTCGAAACGCTAGCGTTTTATTTTGAAAGTCTAACCGGACGTTGCATATTTGTTGTTGCTAAGGGTTGCTAACTTGACCGCAGAGACTTAAACGTCTAAAACGCCAAAGGGCCTTGACCAAGCGTCAATATGTGATGAGTCGGGAGTGAGAGCGTGTTGTCATATCGGGAGGAAATTGATAATCTTGCAGAGTGGTGCTCAGAGAACAACCTACTGCTCAACGTCAGCAAAACTAAGGAGCTGATCGTTGATTACAGGAAGAAGGAGATAAAGAAACACACTCCTGTCTACATCAGTGGAGCAGGTTTCAGGTTCCTGGGAATCGGCTTCACAGAGAACCTGACATGGACAAGTCAGACTTGCCACTAGCAACATTGCCCAGCAACATTTCTCAAAAAGTTGCCCCGTGTATTATCAGCCTTAAGGACAGTACCCACCCAGCCACAGCCTGTTCACCCTGCTGCCTTCTGGGAAGAGATATAGAAGTTTCTGCTGCCGCACCACCAGACTGCAGTGGAATATAGTTTATTTCTGTTTACTATCTTTGTAATTGCTTCTAATTTACTGTATACTGTCTGCTACGTAGCAGGAGGGAGTAACAAACCCAATTTCACTTTACAACCTGCTTTATTGTGACAAATAAATCTACCTTTTACCTTCTGTTAACACTTCTTTAGGCTAACTTTACCTACTTTGAATGCAGTATTAATGAATGTTATATCATGTACTTCAGTAACAGTATGTCTCCCTGTTTTTGTAGTTTTTTGTCTGTGGCATTAATATTGTTATGTTCTATCGACTGAGCCATACTGTGTTTTTGAGGCCAGAACTGATTAATATTGGGGTTAATAATATTGGCCAACCGTACATTTTGAGCAATGAAAAGACGCAGACTGAACAGGACGCCTGGATTAATATTAGTGAAGCTCAGTTAGAATGTGAGTTCATCACAGAAAGAACTGCCGACATGAAGACCTTTAAACTTTTTATTTTTTCCTCCAGATTGATGAAATAAAGTATTATAGATGTTAGTCGACTTGAAGGATCCTGCAAACAGAGTTGTAGGTGAAACACTCGCATGTCGATAATCCTGTGTGTTCAGAGGCGGTTCAGCCTCTGCCAGAGTTCATCGACCCTGAAGACCAGCAGACCTTCAGAGGATCAGATCCACATCACAGGAGCAAACCTGAGGAACAGCTGCAGAGAAGAACGTCCAGCAGTCACCTTAAAAAACTTCAAATTCGAAGCCCCGAAGGTAAGAACCTGATTAACGGGACAGTCGAGGACTTCAGAGTGGTTGTCTGTTCGGTTTTTCAGTCTCAGTTGTTTCTAAAAAAGTGGAGTTGGTCAGTAAACGTAGGATATTTATTTGTTGAAGGAAACAGTGTGGGCAGAGTTGACCAAAAGATGAAATTAAATTGAAACCTGGAGCTCAACTGATCAAACGGTCACAGTTCAACAGGTGACCAGGCCGGGGTAGAGGAAGAGATCGTTCTCCAGATTCTATTGGTCCTTGGCAACCTGTAAATATATTTACCATAAACCTGGTTCAGTAGTTCCAGGAGTCAGAGTTGTGAAGTTTCACTATCTAGTGGCAAAGCAGGAAAGTTTTGACACAGTGAAATAAGAAGGTTGGAGGTGTTGTGTATTTTTCTTATTGTCGAACCAAATAGAGAAAAGAAACTTCTGCTCCCAATACAGAACCTGCATGTCCCTCCCCTTCCTGTGGAACATCATCGACCTTATTTTGGAAAAAATGTGGACGATAGTTAACAACAGACAACTAATGTTTAGATCCTGTTTGAATTGTGGCATGAATTACACACATGATGTTTGTCAGTTTAAAAAATAACTCAAGTCAAGAAAGTCACAGTTTGTATAAGGAAGTATAACACTGTGAAAATATTTAATTACAAAGACCACGAACCCAGAAGTTGCGTATGTGACTGACATTACTCGTTACTTTAGTTAACTGAAGCAAATGTCACTGAAGTTAACGTCACTGAAGCTAACTTAACTGAAGTTAACATCACTGAATCATCATTTTATGCTCATGTTGCCAATTTTTGCACATACTTGTCAGCATTGTATTATAGCATTATTGTATCTTTTTATATTTTTTGTATACTTTTACTTTTGTATAATTTTACTGTAAGCACCAATTCATACCAAGGCAAATTCCTCGTATGTGTAAATGTACCTGGCAATAAACCGGATTCTGATTCTGAAGTTAATGTCACTGAAGCTAACGTTACTGAAACTAAAGTTAATGTTAACGTCACTAAAGCTAACATCACATAAGCTAATGTCACTGAAGCTGATGTGCTCCTAAGCTGACATTACTGAAGCTTGTCACTAAAGCTAACATCACTGAAGTTAATGTCACTGAAGTTACGTCACTGAAGCTAAAGTCACTAAAGCTATAGTTACTGAAGCTAACGTTACTTTAGTGAACTGAAACTAATGTTACTGAAGCTAATGTTACTTTAATTAACTTACGCTAACGTCACTGAAGCTAACATCACTGAAGCTAACGTCACTGAAGTTAAGTGGCTCAACGAAACTAACTTCACTGAAGCTAACGTTACTTTAGTTAACTGAAGCTAACATCATTGAAGTTAATGTCACTGAAGCTAACGTCACTAAAGCTAATGTTACTAAAACTAACATTACTGAAGCTAATATTACTTTGTTAACTGAAACGAACGTTATTTTAGTTAACTGAAGCTAATGTCACTGAAGCTAACGTTACTGAAACTAAAGTCACTAAAGTTAACGTTAACGTCACTGAAGCTAACGTTACTAAAGCTAACCACTGAAGCTAACATCACTGAAGTTAATGTCACTGAAGCTAAAGTCACTGAAGCTAACGTTACTGAAACTAACGTTACTTTAATTAACTTACACTAACATCACTGAAGCTAATATTACTGAAGCTAACGTCACTGAAGCTAATGTCACTGAAGTTAACGTTACTAAAAACTAACATTAGAGAGCCTCCATGTGATGTGATAAAAGGAACAGGATTTATTGGATTAAACGCGTCACTGAAGCTAACATTACTGAAACTAAAATTATTGAAGCTACCCTTCAGTTAATTAAAGCTAATGTCTCTGAAGCTAATGTTACTGAAACTAACATTACTGAAGCTAACGTTAAGTTAGTTAACTGAAGCTAACGTCACTGAAGCTAATATTACTGAAGCGAACGTCACTGAAGCTAACGTTACTGAAACTAAAGTTAATGTTAACGTCACTAAAGCTAACATCACATAAGCTAATGTGCTCCTAAGCTGACATTACTGAAGCTTGTCACTAAAGCTAACATCACTGAAGTTAATGTCACTGAAGTTACGTCACTGAAGCTAAAGTCACTAAAGCTATAGTTACTGAAGCTAACGTTACTTTAGTGAACTGAAACTAATGTTACTGAAGCTAATGTTACTTTAATTAACTTACGCTAACGTCACTGAAGCTAACATCACTGAAGCTAACGTCACTGAAGTTAAGTGGCTCAACGAAACTAACTTCACTGAAGCTAACGTTACTTTAGTTAACTGAAGCTAACATCATTGAAGTTAATGTCACTGAAGCTAACGTCACTAAAGCTAATGTTACTAAACTAACATTACTGAAGCTAATATTACTTTGTTAACTGAAACGAACGTTATTTTAGTTAACTGAAGCTAATGTCACTGAAGCTAACGTTACTGAAACTAAAGTCACTAAAGTTAACGTTAACGTCACTGAAGCTAACGTTACTAAAGCTAACCACTGAAGCTAACATCACTGAAGTTAATGTCACTGAAGCTAAAGTCACTGAAGCTAACGTTACTGAAACTAACGTTACTTTAATTAACTTACACTAACATCACTGAAGCTAATATTACTGAAGCTAACGTCACTGAAGCTAATGTCACTGAAGTTAACGTTACTAAAACTAACATTAGAGAGCCTCCATGTGATGTGATAAAAGGAACAGGATTTATTGGATTAAACGCGTCACTGAAGCTAACATTACTGAAACTAAATTATTGAAGCTACCCTTCAGTTAATTAAAGCTAATGTCTCTGAAGCTAATGTTACTGAAACTAACATTACTGAAGCTAACGTTAAGTTAGTTAACTGAAGCTAACGTCACTGAAGCTAATATTACTGAAGCGAACGTCACTGAAGCTAACGTTACTGAAACTAAAGTTAATGTTAACGTCACTAAAGCTAACATCACATAAGCTAATGTGCTCCTAAGCTGACATTACTGAAGCTTGTCACTAAAGCTAACATCACTGAAGTTAATGTCACTGAAGTTACGTCACTGAAGCTAAAGTCACTAAAGCTATAGTTACTGAAGCTAACGTTACTTTAGTGAACTGAAACTAATGTTACTGAAGCTAATGTTACTTTAATTAACTTACGCTAACGTCACTGAAGCTAACATCACTGAAGCTAACGTCACTGAAGTTAAGTGGCTCAACGAAACTAACTTCACTGAAGCTAACGTTACTTTAGTTAACTGAAGCTAACATCATTGAAGTTAATGTCACTGAAGCTAACGTCACTAAAGCTAATGTTACTAAAACTAACATTACTGAAGCTAATATTACTTTGTTAACTGAAACGAACGTTATTTTAGTTAACTGAAGCTAATGTCACTGAAGCTAACGTTACTGAAACTAAAGTCACTAAAGTTAACGTTAACGTCACTGAAGCTAACGTTACTAAAGCTAACCACTGAAGCTAACATCACTGAAGTTAATGTCACTGAAGCTAAAGTCACTGAAGCTAACGTTACTGAAACTAACGTTACTTTAATTAACTTACACTAACATCACTGAAGCTAATATTACTGAAGCTAACGTCACTGAAGCTAATGTCACTGAAGTTAACGTTACTAAAAACTAACATTAGAGAGCCTCCATGTGATGTGATAAAAGGAACAGGATTTATTGGATTAAACGCGTCACTGAAGCTAACATTACTGAAACTAAAATTATTGAAGCTACCCTTCAGTTAATTAAAGCTAATGTCTCTGAAGCTAATGTTACTGAAACTAACATTACTGAAGCTAACGTTAAGTTAGTTAACTGAAGCTAACGTCACTGAAGCTAATATTACTGAAGCGAACGTCACTGAAGCTAATATTACTGATGCTAACGTCGCTGAAACTAATGTCACTGAAGTTCACATCAATAAAACTAACATCAGAGAGCCTCCATGTGATGTGATAAAAGGAACAGAATTTGTTGGATTAAACACATCAGTGGGGCTACATGTGTGCACGGAAGATGGCTAAGTTACCTAGCTAGTAGCAGGCAAGCAATGAACGTTAGCTTAGCATTACAGCCCTAACATGTTGGTGATGTGAATTGTGCAAGACGAGAGATGTAGTTGATGGAGCAGTTTCACACAAAAGTAAATGTTACTTTACAGTTTCACAAAAAACTGTGACTTTCTTGACTTAAAATATCTTAAACTGACAAACATCATGTGTAATTCAGAACACAGGAGAGGCTAGTCTGCACAGGAGAAAATTATCTCTCGCTGTTGACTAACGGACATATTTTTCCCGAAATAATGCCCCATGGCGCGGAAAATACTCATTAGAGCACAATATGTGGACTCATCCGCCGCTAAAAATAGTCCCCAATAAACGCACTATTTATACCTGTTTCATAAAAACCTTTTTAACAATGAAGCCTGTTTTTTACATGTTGCTGCTAATAAGACGATCGTGTTACTGTGTGTCCGCTGGAGGTTGGCTTTGTTTTTAGGGGGGTCTCTGCACTCCCGTTAAAAATCACTCTCAGAGCTGGTTTCGACATCCTGGTGTGTTTCCAGGTGTTCCAGGTGTGCGTGGGGACATTGAGCAGCATGGCGGTTTGCCTGCAGGTTGTGGGTCTGCTTCTGGGCGTGGTGTCCTGGTGTCTGCAGTCCAGCTGTACCTCTTCTCAGGCGTGGAAGGTGAGCAGTCAAGCGGAGGCGATCAGCACCAGTCAGTGGCTGTTTGAAGGTCTGTGGATGAGCTGTGCTACCAACTCGATGGGGTCCCTCCAGTGCAGCAAGTTCAAGACGGTGCTGGGACTACCAGGTGAGGACTCACCGCTCAGTCATAAACAACCCCACAGGAAATAACGTCTCTAACCAGACTCTTTGTTAAACATTGTGTTTTTTATGACCTGACGCGTACTGGTCTCCAGCTTACCTGCATGCCTGCAGGGCTCTGATGATCCTGTCCCTGCTGGTTGGCCTGGCCTCCATCATCGCTTCTGTGCTGGGACTCAAGTGCACCAAGATCGGCAGAACCTCAGAGTACGTCAAAGACCAGATCGCCCTGACTGGAGGAATCCTGTTCATCCTGTCTGGTATGTGAGCTGAGTAGAAATGATCAGAACTGGCCAAAAGACATTTTAACGTAACATCCAAATGTTGTAGCAGCTGCCCTGTATGTCTTCTTCGTGAATATATTGGGTGTCTTTTCAGGTGTCTTCACGCTGATCGCAGTCTCCTGGTACACTGCCAGAGTCATCCAGGAGTTCAACAACCTGCAGTATGGAGGAGTCAGGTCAGTCTTACACTTAAGACCTCCTCTACAGTGTGGTGTTTGAACTCCTGCTGCTAACACTGTGATTGATGCTGCTGCAGGTTCGAGCTGGGTAAAGGTCTGTATCTGGGCTGGGCGGCCTCCTGTCTGGCCATACTGGGAGGATCTATGCTCTGCTGCTCCTACAGGAAGACTATTCCCACCAACTCTGCACGGTAAACCCACAGCACCTCACAGCTATGCCTCCTACTACGCGTAGTACTGCCGTTTGTCCACAGGAGGGCGTCGTCAGCAACAGACAATCCTTCCTTATACCACTGACACAGAGAGGGCTGGATTCTGGTCTATGATTCGTCAGCATCCTGTTCGGTATAGACCAGACGTGGTCCCAGACAGAAGTGTGGAAATCCTGAACCTGAATCCAACATTCATAAGTCACTTTTAAAAAACAAAGAGATCCCAATCCGAAAAGGACCCCGGGACCATCAGTTGTGTCCTGAAATAGAATTTAGACCCAGTCCTTCAAAGACGTCTTCTCTCTAGTTTGATTGCTTTTCATCACATTCTCCAGTTAAACTTTTATTCTTATCAGGTCAATAATTTACTAATAGAACTATCATCTCAGACTTAATATCAGCACGTAATTGATTTTAACAGACTGGGATTTGGGCCACAAAAACATGCAAGCTTTAGTCTATCCGCTCGACCACAGATGGATTGGAGACTGGATTGTGTGTTTTTTCTTTTGGGGAATAAACCAGAAAGTTCTTGTTCTCTCCTGCAGGCAGTTTTCTTACAACTTCTCCACAACGAGCCGAGGACCGAACATCTACAGAGCAGCTCCGGCGCCCGACGGCAGCAGCTCCAAAGCTTACGTCTAAACCTCCCCAGCACTGCTGCTTCCTGTCTGATCTACTGCTGCAGGACGGACACTGACAGCCGAGCACAGCAGCATCACAAGCTAATTCTTATAACTTTTTTTCTTGACGCAAAATTAAATGTGTGTTTTTTAACTAAAGGAATTTTATTGCGAAGATTTATTTAATTTTTGCCAAAGTCTTTGTGAACTTTCCAAACCTTCCTGCCTGCTTTAACTGAGGATTATCTGTTTGTGAACTGTTTTATTTTAACATGTTGTAAATAAATGTTTCCCGAATCTGTAGGCGCTTTCACATGGCCTTATTTTTCGGGAGTATTGCGCCAATATGGCGGCTTGCTGCTCTGTATGAAAGATATGGAGCCAGAAAGGGGGGTCAGATCTGATCCACCTCTGAGCCGGGAACATTGGTGGTAACAGATATGGATACGGTGTCTGTATGAAAATCCACAGCCGGCGTGCCGGTGTTGCTATCGCTGGTTCCGCAAAGCCGGATCGCTCTGTGAAAGCACACGTTTGAGGGATTTTGACGCAAACAGTATGGATGAGCGAATGTGGCATGTTAGCGGATATTAGCGTTTTCCTCTCCGGCTTCAGAAGCCATCAGACCACAGACCAGCCCTCTCGTCCGTAAAGATTTCTGAGAGGTATCCAAGGAAGGTTAAAGTCGAGGGCAACTGGACTGGCTGAAGATATTTGATGACGCTTTCAGGTCTGACTGACAGGCAGGGAATTGCAGCCATTTAACCTCTGAGGGGTCGTTATGTGATGGATACCTCGTGGTTCGTTAGTGCTGCTGGCTGTTCTAACGAGTCTTTGTGATCGTTGGAGTCACCTGAAGTCTGAACGACCGTCGTCAGTCAAAACTGGAAAAGCCCTTCGGATGAGAGTCTGAACGTCTTTAAGTATCTTCAGTCCAGTTGCCCTTTATTTGAACCTTACTTGAATGATGCGGATAACTGAGAACCTTCATAGACATGTCTGAGGTGTTTGGCCATCTTCAGTCAGTCTTAGAGAACTATACTTACAGGGATTGGACAATGAAACTGAAACACCTGGTTTTAGACCACAATAATTTATTAGTATGGTGTAGGGCCTCCTTTTGCGGCCAATACAGCGTCAATTCGTCTTGGGAATGACATATACAAGTCCTGCACAGTGGTCAGAGGGATTTTAAGCCATTCTTCTTGCAGGATAGTGGCCAGGTCACGACGTGATGCTGGTGGAGGAAAATGTTTCCTGACTCGCTCCTCCAAAACACCCCAAAGTGGCTCAATAATATTTAGATCTGGTGACTGTGCAGGCCATGGGAGATGTTCAACTTCACTTTCATGTTCATCAAACCAATCTTTCACCAGTCTTGCTGTGTGTATTGGTGCATTGTCATCCTGATACACGGCACCTCCTTCAGGATACAATGTTTGAACCATTGGATGCACATGGTCCTCCAGAATGGTTCAGTAGTCCTTGGCAGTGACGCGCCCATCTAGCACAAGTATGGGGCCAAGGGAATGCCATAATATGGCAGCCCAAACCATCACTGATCCACCCCCATGCTTCACTCTGTGCATGCAACAGTCTGGGTGGTACGCTTCTTTGGGGCTTCTCCACACCGTAACTCTCCCGGATGTGGGGAAAACAGTGAAGGCGGACTCATCAGAGAACAATACATGTTTCACATTGTCCACATCCCAAGATTTGCGCTCCTTGCACCATTGAAACCGACGTTTGGCATTGGCACGAGGGACCAAAGGTTTGGCTATAGCAGCCCGGCCGTGTATATTGACCCTGTGGAGCTCCCGACGGACAGTTTTGGTGGAAACAGGAGAGTTGAGGTGCACATTTAATTCTGCCGTGATTTGGGCAGCCGTGGTTTTATGTTTTTTGGATACAATCCGGGTTAGCACCCGAACATCCCTTTCAGACAGCTTCCTCTTGCGTCCACAGTTAATCCTGTTGGATGTGGTTCGTCCTTCTTGGTGGTATGCTGACATTACCCTGGATACCGTGGCTCTTGATACATCACAAAGACTTGCTGTCTTGGTCACAGATGCGCCAGCAAGACGTGCACCAACAATTTGTCCTCTTTTGAACTCTGGTATGTCACCCATAATGTTGTGTGCATTGCAATATTTTGAGCAAAACTGTGCTCTTACCCAGCTAATTGGACCTTCACAGTCTGCTCTTATTGGTTCAATGTGCAATTAATGGAGATTGGCCACCAGGCTGGTCCAATTTAGCCATGAAACCTCCCACACTAAAATGAGAGGCGTCTCAGTTTCATTGTCCAACCCCTGTATGTACGAGCATTGCTAATAATTAGGAAAAGAAGACGGGATGTCCCAGATGTCTCTTCGTTCTGTCCAGTTAAATATCGTGTGCCTCGGGGGTCGGTCTTAGGACCCATTTTGTTTTCCTTGGATCTGCTTCCCCTTGGACACATTATCCATAAACATGGCATTTCTTTTCATATTTATGCTGATGACACACAAATATACTTGCCCGTCAGATCCACAGACCCTGGAATGCTGAGTTCAACTGCCTTTGTGAAGTTAAAAAATGGATGTCAAATAATTTCCTCCAGCTGAACTCAGACAAAACAGAAATCCTGGTCATTGGGTCCCAGCAGATGGCAATCAAATACTGCCATCTGCTGTTTCCCTAGTAAATCACATTAAGCCTTTGGCAAAGAACCTTGGTGTTTGGTTTGATAGTAATTTAAATTTCGAGCAGCACACCACAAAGCTTGTTCAATCATGTTTTTATCAACTTAGAAATATAGCAAAAATTCGATCTATGTTAACTTTTAAGGACACCGAGACCATTTTACAGGCCTTCATCTCATCACGCCTGGATTATTGCAACAGCCTTTTCACCTGTTTAACCCAAAATTCTATTGATCGACTCCAGACTGTCCAGAACTCAGCTGCCAGGCTTTTAACCAGAACAAAGAAATATGACCACATTACTATTTCTATTTTAGCTTCATTACACTGGCTCCCAGTATGTTTTAGAATTGACTTTAAAATTCTATTGATCACTTTTAAAGCTCTTCATGGCCTCTCGCCTTGTTATATTTCTGACCTTTTAGTCCCATACGCACCAGCACGTACCTTGAGATCCTCGGGCAGAGGTCTGTTGTCTGTTCCAGAGTCTCGACTGAAAACTAAAGGGGACAGAGCGTTTGCTGTCAGGGCCCCGAGGCTCTGGAACAGCCTGCCCGAGGAAATCAGGTCGGCTGAGTCAGTGAACTCTTTTAAGTCCCTTCTTAAAACCTTTCCCGATCTTGTTTGACTTTATTTTATCCTTTTTATTGAGCTCAACACAGACACGACTAATCTTTGGGTGTCCCCCACTATGAAAATAGTTTTGGAAACTTCTCTTATTAAATGAGCATTTAAATTCAGGTTAGTCAACCTATTTAGAAACATTTAGCTACAGGCATAAGAACCTCTTAACAGGAAACTAAGACACAACTCCCTCTCAGAATATTTCAGCAATGTTCAATGACGTGGGTAGGGCCAGGTTTCATGACACAACACCAGCACACCAGAAAGTGTTTCCTCTCTGTCCAGGTAGAAGTCATCAGACTCTACACATAGTCAAATACTAGAAAACTTTAGTTATTAGCCACAAAATCTGTTCACATTTTCATCTGAACTGAAGATTGGGAGAGTGAAGCCATGGCAAGGAAGGGTTTGTTTGGTTCCTGGTTCTGTGTGCTGGTGGTGTGTTTCCTGGTCTGGCCCGGTCTGGCCCAGGTCCCAGAGCCAGCGCAGTGCCTCGTGTCCGGAATCTACAATCTGGTCCGGCTGCCGGAGAGTAAGGACGGGGAGAGCTGCCGGCTGAATTGCTTTGCAGAGCCTGACTGCCACATGGCCGTGGTGGCCAGACCTCTCACAGGCCCAGGTCAGTGTCTGCTGGTCAACTGCCTGAACCAGAGCCAATACTCATTTCCCCGAGATCCCAGTGCAGAGATCAGGGTTTACCCCAAGACCACCACTTGCAATGGTAAGATGCATTCATGTATTCTACAGTATTCTGTTTACAGCTGCAAATAGAAAATCCTCTGTCAGTAAGTCAAACTATCAAATGACTAGAGACAAAGATCAGTAACAATTTTTTAAATCAGTCCTGTTTGTCCTGAGAGTGAGCTGAAAGGGTGTCGGGCTTTCGGCACAGACTCTCTGCTCTGTGACATTCATTAAACCCGGGGGGGCTGAGTTTCAGCTGCACAAGGCAAGTTTATTTGTACAGCACCTCTCAACAACAAGGCAGAGTGCTTTACATAAGACAGAAAATCAATAAGACAAGAAACACAAGGAAATACAAAATGACACATTAAGAGTATTTACAAAGAGCAAAATGAGCTAAATGGATTTGAGTATGAAATAAACTGTCCCAAATTGAGTTTAATAAAATGAAAAGGCAAAAAGTAATGTCTTAAGTCCGGATTTAGAAGATCTGAGAGTTAAAGCAGACCTTCTCCTCAGGGGGGGGCGCTAGAGAGCCATCAGATGGGTTTTGCTCTGCTGCAGGTCACAGAATCCAGTGTGCTGCTGTCAGATCATAGTGAATTCTTTAAAGCAGACCTACTAATCTGCTTTTCCAGTCATATATTGTAGTTTTCTTACACTGTCTCTTCATGTAGGCCTTCATTTCAGCCTCTGTCTGAAACAAGCTGCAAATGCTCCTGTCTCTTTAAGGCCCCCCCTCTCAAAGCCCACTGTCTTCTGACTGGCCAAGACCTGAACCATGTTACCAGGCTGTTGTTGTCGCTGGGCGGAACAGGCAGACAGAGCCGTTGCTGAAGTCCTTCTAGACAAGTCATGCCTCTCGGCCGCCATCTTGGCAACGTCTCCGGGCAGCTTTTTCGGACTAACAAGAACAGGCTCCTGTCTGAGTGAATGGCGAGAGAGCCAGAGCTGCACTTTCACTGGTCACCCGGACATAAAAACTACATGAATAGAATCAGCAGTAAAATCTGATAAAAATGGCAGAAAAAGTTTGACAACTTTGCCCCAAACTAAGGTTTAAAAAGCGTTTTTCCCGACCGGTTATACTTCTACTACGCATGCAACACAGACCCTTACATCAGTGGAACCACACGACTGGCTGAAATATGTTTCCTACCTACCTCATTTTTTGAATCTTTGACCATATTTAACATGAACATCCAACATTATAACATTGTAGATGTCATAAAATATGGAAAAGCATAACAGGTCTCCTTTAAAGGGAATCGTAAGAGAGGGCATTTTTGAATATTTTCAATTATTTATGAA